AGCCCTGGTGGTCTCCCCTCCCTGTGCTGTGCCAGGGTGGGGGCCCTCCTCGCCCACAGGGAGCCTCAGTGATGAAGGTACAGTTCACGCTTTTCTTACAGCTCTGCTCCTAGATGCAAACTGTTTCTATCCCATCTGCTGCTCAGGCAAAGGGAACAGGAGTGTGTTCCAACCCTGTAGGCAAAGCAGGCTGTTCACCTCCCCAGATGCTCCTGGACTGCACTTTCTGGGCAAGCGGGGGATTTCAAGGGTGGTTTTAGGGGCCAGGGGTGGTGCAACGGTAATATGCTGGGCCCACATGGGCCCAAAGGTCCTGGGTTCTTTCCTACTCATCCTCTAATCTTCACATGTTGCCTCCTCCGGGCAGCTTCCCCTGATATCCCAAGTGCTTTTGTAACCCTATCTCATAATATGCATTTTAAAATTTGTATATACATTTTTTATGTTTTTATTTTTAAAATTATTTATTTAACTTTATTCATTCGTTTTTTAATTTGATGAGAGAGAGACACAGAGAGAGAGGGAAGTGAGAAAGCAAGCCACCAGTTCTGGGACTCGAACCGTGGTTGGCCGTGTGGGAGTGTCCAGCACCCTAATCACCACACCACCTGCTGGTCCCTTTATTATTTTTTTCTTTTAATTTACCAGAGAGTGTGTGCATTCACTGGAGAGAGAGGAAAGGCAAGAAAGCACCCCTCCTGAGGAATGGTCATGCCACAAATCCTGTTTCTCCATCCTGTCAGGATGGTGGGCACACGTACACATTTCCAGTTGTTTGTCAAGCTACCATGTCCAGGACTCAAACTGCATGGTTGGCCATGTGGAATCCAGCTGGATTCACACCAGGCCACAGACTGCCTCTATTTTCATTTTTTAGAAAAAAAGTAGGAATGAGCAGATGGTGTAATGGTTACATCGCTAAACTCCCACATAGTTGACTGCAGTTCGAGTCTTGGACCTGGTGACTTAAAATTCACACCGAGCACCTATGCATGTGTGCCCAAGATCCTGAGAGGAGACTAGAGGAGAAGGGATTGTGGCATGGCCACCTCCGCACCCCCGGGGGTGATTTCTCCTTTCTGTCTCTCTCTCTGGTGAGTGCACACACCCTAAAGCAAAAACTCTTAAAGAAAATGATCAGGGTTGCCCTGTGGTCCAGTGGTAATGTATTGCTCAGGAGAAGCCAGATCCCACCTGGTGACTGAGATTTGAGTCTCTGGCCCACTCAACCTGAAACATACCAGGCGTGAGCCGCAGTCCCATGTGATGGCTGAAAGGCAGGAGGAGGGGGATCGCAGCGAGACCAGACCCTCTGGAGGGTGCCCCGCCAGTCACTCCTGCATGTGCACACACACATGCATCCTATCATGAATAAAGAAAAGAAAAACTTTTGGGGAGAGATTTTTTGCTGTACAGTATATGTGTTCACTGGAGAGACAGAGAGACAGAAAGTGTCACTCCCCAGGGGGGATGGCCGCACCACAATCCTCTCTCCATTCTCCTCTCGGGATTTTGGGCACACACGCACACACTCCCAGTGTGTTTCAAGCCGCGGGGTTCAGGACTCAAATTGCATTCGTCCGTGTGGGAGTCCAGCGACCTAACCACTATGCCATCTGCTTGTCCCCAAAAAAACATTTTTTAAAAGCTTATTTATTGGGCCAGCAGGTGGCATGGTGGTTAAGGCTGACTGCGGTTCAAGTCCTAGACCCAGTGATTTGAAAACCATACTGAGCGTGTATCCACATGTGCTCTAAGTCCTGCTGGGACAGTGGAGGAGAAGGGGTAGCGGTGTGGCAGTCTCTAACCTCCCCTGTTTGTCTCAGAATTGGAACTCAGGACCCCTTCATGGCATCAATATTAGAGTCTTGCCTTACCACTCGGCTCCTTCCCCATATCTGGGTGCCTCTCCTTTCCTTGCAGACCACCTCCCTCCGCCTCACAGCCCTGCTGGCCAGCGCCTGGCACTTCCTCATTTACCAAGTACTTACTAGGCCCTCGCTCTGTGTCGGGCGCCTCGCTAGCTGCTGTAGAGACAGCTGAGAACGAGACCCATGGAGCTTGCATTCCTTTTTCTTTTCTTTTTTAAAGAATTATTTATGTAATTTTATTTATTCATTCATTTTTTAAAAATTTGACCAGAGACACACACACACACACACACACACACACACACACAGAGAGGGGAAAAGGACAAAGCAAGCTGCCAGGTCTGGGACTCGAACTGTGGTTGGCCATATGGGAGTGTCCAGGGGCTTGACCACCACGCCACCTGCTGGGCCCTCGGAGCTTGCGTTCTAATAGATGAGAGAAGAGAGTGAACAAATCGATAAGTAACATCATTTCAGATGAACACAGTGAAGGGAACAAATGATGGGAACCTGGTAAAAAGCAATGGGGGCAGGTGGAGGAGTAGTTAAGGTGCTGGGCTCCCACATAGTCAACCACAGTTCCAGTCCGAGATCCGGTGGCTTGAATCTCATGCTGGGTGCATGTGCTCACATGCCCCAAATCCTAAGAGGGTGAAGGAAAAGGGATTGTGGCATGGCCAGCTTCCCTGGGGAGTGATTTCTCACTTTCTGCCTCTGTCTCTCTGTCTTTGGCACACACATGCCCTATAGCAAAAATCTCTCTCACACACGCACACATGCACAAAGCCATGTGGGAGGGAGGGGCTGCTTTACGTGAGAAGTCAAGGAGGGCCGCTCTGAGGAGCTGACGTGTTGGCAGAGCCTCAGATGAGGAGGAGGAGGCCTTGTAAAGACGGTGTCCCTGTGGTTCAG